AAGCACAAAAAAAAAGAAGAATATTTAAATTAAGGATGACCCATAAACTCACACACATATAATTTTAGCAAATTCCTTACTTAACATATTTTGGGCCTTCGTGTACAGTTCCAAGTAGAATATTGCTCAGAATATATATCTCAATGATTAAATAAGTCTATTAGACATTATTCCTAATCATAAAATATCTTCTACCAGGTATATTAAAATTGAGATGAAAAGAAATTTGTACGCTGGCTAAATATGGAAACATGACTAAAACTTATATCATTCTGGTGTACAATTAATATAAATATAGCATAGATAACCTACCATCAATTAGAATGACATTTACTTTTGAAATGCTATTTCTCTGTTCTGTAAGCCATGACCAAATTGTCTTGATCCTTTAAATAAAGAAATACTAGGTCATTCGGGGGGGGGGGGGGGGGGGGGGGGGGGGGGGGAAGATGAGTGCTAATCTTGAGGTAAAAGCAAAAACCTCAGTCATCTTAGGACACCAAGAGTTTGAAAGACAGCACTTTTTTGGGAATATGGTTGACATTTTCCACATATTTCAAGAAGGTTTTGCTGATCTAAAATTGTAGCAGATGGAGAAGCAGGAAGTGTGAATTGAGAAAATATTCAAGAGACAAAAATCTAAACTAGGCCAGCCACATAGGCCTCTTACAACTGAGATTAGGGGATGGAAATACTTTAATAATTTATAAAAGATATAACAGATTTATTAGACATGCAATGAATCTAAGTCCTAGATTGTGGGACAGAAACAATAAACATGGGAAAAGTCAGACACCACAGTAAAAAGAGGAAATAGTTCTCCATCACTTTGCAGACTAACTCAAAAGTTTCTATCTATTAACCTCAGCAATATGCTTCTCCTTAGGCAACTTCTTATTTATTTTGACAATCACATTCCAAACATTCGTCCAAACAAAACAAAAATAAATAAATAAATAATACCACACATATTGAATATTTATAAAATCAAAATCCCTGGGTTCAAATCTTAGATATACTGCATCCTAGTCATGTGACCATAGGAAATACCTTAGTCTCTAAATAATAGATGTAAATTTGAAAGAGTGATTTTTATATATTTTGTTATAAAGATTAAATGAACTCCACTATAGCCCTGACTGGTTAGGCTGAGTGGATAGAGCATCAGTCTGAGGACTGAAGGGTACCAGGTTCGATTCCAGTCAAGGGCATGTACCTTGGTTGTGGGAACATCTCCAGTAGGGGGTGTGCAGGAGGCAGCTGATGGATGTTTCTCTCTCATCAATGTTTCTAACTCTCTATCCCTCTCCCTTCTTCTCTGTAAAAAAAAAAAAAAAAAAAAAATCAATAAAATATATATTTTTAAAATGAACTTTACTATAATTAAATTACTTGACATTTTCTCATCTTCATGGTTTCCAAAAATCTAAGAGAAAAGTGTAATAAAATTAAGTGATATAGATATTTTTCAAATAAATTTGCAGTCCAAATAAATATATCTGTGTGGGCTAAAAATGAAGTAATTCCTTCTTTTACTACAGTGAATATTAGAAAAAGAAAACGGGGAAATGGGCAAAAAGAAAAAAGAGGAAAATGTTTTAAATCAAGATTCCAATCGTATTACCAACCCAATCGTTCTGTACATTATGTTGTAGAGAATTTGATAATTTCCCAAAATGTCTTTTGATTCAGTAAGAACTAAACAGAGTGACTTAATTTACATTGCAAAGCAAGATCTGTTTGTTTACTTATACCATCCTATTACATGGAGAAAATAGAAAAACTATGTGCACACCAGCCTTAGACATATATTTGAAGTAGACTGTGCTTCAACCAAACACAGTGTGTGTTTGTGCTTTTGGCTAGAGCACAGCACAGAAATGTGTTTACAGACTGTTGAACAAACTTAATGTTATGTTTCCAAATATCAGTAATATAAACAGAGTAAGAAAATTCCAATATGTTTTTGAACTTTATCCATTAAAAAAAAAATGCACTTAAAAGTTTGTGTTCTAAATTCTGTATTTTAGAAGACATAAAAGGGGGTATATCCACCAAGGCTTTCTTGTTCTTGGTTCTTTGATAACATCCATCATCTTTCCACTTGCAGGTGATTCAAAGAGTCAGAACTGAGGCAAAAGTCAGATTACATAATATAACACACAATAGTAAAACTCTGCAAAAGGTAAGTGATGAACAGATGAGTAGTTTCCATGGTAGCAGCACAAAAAGAAGTTTGATTTGTGAGTGAACCAAATGGTCCAGGTGTCCTCAACATGGTGCCAGTGGTAGATTTTAAGTATCATTCTCAAATAATATGCATTTTTTGAAATGTAAAATTTACAATAATATCCATATGTCTACATAACTTTACCTGGCTAATAACAAATATAGCCTCCATCCACTTTTAAAATGGATGTGACTCAGAAGAAGTTAAAAAACTGAAAGAATAACATGTAATTTCTAGAGGTATCTCAGAATTACTAATTAAAACCTTATTTTCACAAAACCTATTCTATGAAGCACTAGTTCATAGAGAGTTAAATAAATATAAAATTATTTAATGGATATTCAGAACCATTAACATCTTAATGAGCATTGTTCATCCCCAAGAGTGTGATGCAAAAGGCAGAGCTTCAAAAGCTTGGCTACCCAGGGAGATTTCTTTATCCAGCTCCTGCTCCAGCTCCAATATTTTAAGGAAAACACTTGGAGAAATAATGTAAAATTAAACTCCCTAGCCAGACATTCAATGATAGATAACAAAGGATAATTTTATAATTCAATTCAAATCAATTACTTTTTAGTGAGTAACATAATGGCTGTGCCTTTGACACCATGTTATTTTCCAAAGAGCAATAACCATATAAGTAGACTGCTGGGTCCCAATTGGATGAATAATTTTCCACATTTTTTTTAATCATCTGGGCAAATTACCTTTGGGGGAAGATACCCCTAAGAAGTTAGCAGGTACAAAGAAAGAAAAAAAAAATAGAGATATGAACAGTAAAAGACAGGGAAGAAAAAAATAAAAAGACAGAGAACCTTTTATCTACAAGCTCTAGAACATAGACACTGGTGAAACTGTGAAAAATGTAAATACAGCCAAGAGCTATATTTTATATGTAGAATTACCAGGATTTTCAGTTTGCTCTATTCTAAATCTGTCAAAACAAACCAAAAAGAAAGAAGCAAATACTTTTCTAATTAAACTTGAATGACTGTGAATCTCCATTGTCATATTGTACTTCCTAAGACTCAAAGTTTATGTGACTGCTTCTAATATCATAAAGGCCTATAGGATTGATGTTATTTATGAATGAATCAGAAGCATACTTTATTTCTACAAGAATTACTGCTATAACCTACAGAGAGAAAATAAGATTGAGGTCATCTTTTCCTTCCTACCTACTTTATCAGTTGTTCAATTATACCCAAGGACTATATTTAAGCTGACAACTGATTATTTCTCTTGTATTCCCTTTGCTCATACTGTTTTTAGCTTCCTTACTCTTCCATTAGCTGCACTGTCCTGTTTTTGCCTGCATCTGTTTTTCATTAGCCTCCCAGAGAGATAAGTTTCTATTCAACAATATTTATGAAGTACCCATGATAGCATGAGACTGAATATATGTATTTGGGAAGATTTGTTTCAAGATTAGAAGAAGCAGACAATCTCTCAAAGGAGCAAAGGACAAAAATAGCTGCTACTTTATCAACCAATAATAAAAGTAATTATTTGATAAGTGGCTTTTTGTGAGAGTAGTATATGAGATAGGAAAACTCTTGTTTCCTAGTTTGTGTAATGCTATTTTGATATTACCTAAGGATTGCTTTAGAAACTATTACTCCTCATTTGTAGAATGGCAAGAGGTTATACATGTTAAAAAGAAATATAAATATTCTTTTTTTTTAATATATTTTATTGATTTTTTGCAGAGAGGAGGAGAGAGGGATAGAGAGCTAGAAACATCGATGAGAGAGAAACATCGACCAGCTGCCTCTTACACACCACCCACCGGGGATGTGCCCACACCAAAGTACATGCCCTTGACCGGAATCGAACCCGGGACCTTTCAGTCCGCAGATCGACGCTCTACCACTGAGCCAAACCGGTTTCGGCAGAAATATAAATATTCTTATTGAATCTTTGTTGTTTGACATGTAACAATATTTTAAATGCTGATGTGATTTTTACTGAATTGTCTCCTTTAACAACTATTTTTTACATGGCTGTCATTAAAATATTGAATTATCAAAAATTAATGTAGTATACTGTACAAAATAAATGAGCTAAGAATGTAGTTGTTCCAAAAATATAAAACTGAATTTATTTAAATTAATTAGATTTTTTACTGAATACCTTCTGTATAACTAGATTAAGGGCATACTCTGTCAATTGTGTTATTTCAGTAAACTACAGTATTAAGAGTGGATTTTCTAGTATGGATATCCTTGACATTTTATTTCATTGTGGTTAACACAAACATTCTAATTAGAGTAAAAATATTCAGAGAAAAGTATTTGTCATACATTTGTTATTAGGCAGGAGATATGTAAAAGGGCTAATGTTTACAATGGAAAAAATGTATATGCATGATAGAAATAGACTTTAATATATTAGCTGAGTTTCACTGGGTTGCAAGAACAGCCACCAACTGGTGCTAGCATAAACAAAAAGCATACTTCTAGGAAGATACTGGCATGTCTGTTAAACAGACCATGTTTCTTATCTCAAGGGAGGGAAGCCCAGCTAAGCAACTGGCTCTCAGGTAAAGCAAGTATCATAGCAGGTGGGAGAATTCAAAGATCTCAGGGGCGCTGCCATTAACAAAACTCAATTAACAGACGCTCTGTGTCTCTCAGTTCAACTTCCTAAATCCCTGGGATTTGGTGATGTCTACTGCTTCAATGAAGTGTTCACCTCTGACCCCATCAGCACCAGTAGACCAAGGAGGGCATATAGCACAGCTAGAGTGACTGAGAACCACGCCCCAAACACCCCTTTTCTGAACCAGAGGTAATTTCCAGAGGAGTAGTATCTGTTCTTATCAGTTTAATATCTGATGCGTCCTCTATCCAAGGACAATTTATTAAATGGATTTTACAACTAAACGTTGTGCTCAGTCTTCCTTTGTAGCACACAGGGAGAAGTATTACAAAATGCATTTAATTTTATTTATATACGTAAACACAGGGGAGGGGGACAGACCCTAATGGGCTTTAATGTTTCTTTTTTCTTCTCCCTTTGTGCTTTTGCAGTCTTGGATGCAAAAATGTAATTATTCGACTGTTAAATTTTTTAAAAAGCTGAAAACTTAATGGCATGATAAGAGAATAAAGTAGCTTTTCTATTTACTAATATATTATCAAGAATATAAGGGCCTGGTGCCTTTTTAGAAATAGGGTTTTCTTTTGTGCACTCAAGACATTACAGCTTCTGACTACGCCTAGATCAAAGGATTTTATTCTGTGACTGCGGACCATACTTCATGAAGTTAGCAAAGTGTTTTTTTAACCTGCCCTGTAGAAAAGTCAATAATCAGCCTTACTTGCTGAAACATTCAGAACTTACCAAGGAATTCACTGACTAAAAAAAGTGGCACATAAGGAAGCAAAGATAAAAATAAAAAAAACCACTGAGTTCTTCAAGTAACTACGTAACCTCCCTTGACACTAAATAACACAAATCATAGTTACTCTTCTGCCTATTCTATGGTGGCATAATGAACTAAATAATAAAACTGTAGGTAGTTCTTTTTGATCATGGTGAGGGAAGAACTGACTTCAGTGGCCATTGTGAAAGAGGTCTGTGGTCAAAAATAGCTGAATTTGTTTTTCTCCCTCTGGTAATAACCAAACACTTAACCCCTCTAATGAATTCCTTTTGTTGGATCATGGGAGTGGGGAATGGAAAACAGGAAATTGCAAGATGCAGAGACAGGCTCTTATTGTCTGGCCACTGACTGCTGAGCCACAGCAACATCAGTGGGGCTCAAGTGAGAAGAGAAATGACAAAGCACAATGATTCCTTTGTACGTTCAGCAGTGTGTTAGATTCAGGGCCAGATACCAACAGGGCGATGAGACGGGAAACAAGCATGGCTGTCTGAGGGAGGATGAAAGCCTTGCTGATTTGCACACTGGCAAATGACATGTGGGCACACACCAGGGATTTTCCACAAGGCTCCATCTTTTTTCTTTTATTTCTTTCTTCGGAAGAAGAAAATCAATTAAACTTGGAGCCTTTGACCTTCACCCTCAAGGACTCAAACTAGCTAGAATGGCAATCCCTCTATGATAACATGCTATGTTACCTTGAAAGAAATTGCACTGAGAATGGAAGGCAGAAGTTTGTGAGTATAGATAAAGGAAGCTATTAAAACTGATGCCATTATGCTCCACAGGTTCAGGCAGCATTACCGGAATTTTGCTGGTAGATATTGTGAGTCATGGCAATTCAATTTTAATAGGAAGTGTGTGTGTGTGTGTGTGTGTGTGTGTGTGTGTGTGCACGTCTATGCGTGTGTATTGATAACTTCTCCAAGTAATATGATTGATGCAACTAACATTGACACAGTAGATTCTAAAATTAATCTCAAGCTATGTATGACTATAGCTGACTTCATTATATGCAGAGAAGACTCCATCAAGAATCCTAGGGTCTCCCTCCAAAAAGCTTGAGCAGAAGCTGTGGTCTGGAGCCATCTAGATCAGACCCCAATACATTAGGTTGGCTTAGCTGTTACGCCCAGACTTCATAATCCCCAAGTTCCACCAGGGAGCCGAGTCCGATGCAATAAACAAAAGATCCTTTTCCATGCTAGCATGGGCTCTGTCCCACTCACACCGGCAGCAGGGCAGAAGAGAGTGCAAATTTCACCCAGTCCAGGGGTTTTACTCTGGTCGGTGGTGATGTCACTGCCTTGGCTAACCCTGATTGGTTGGGTGAGGGCTAGGGTTCAGTTACAGAATGGAGGATAACTCTGCCCTAGCCCATCCTCACCCCACCCTGCCCTCTCACTAGCCAGGCCAGTTTTAGATCAATAGTAACCATTGCCTAGCTGCAATCTATTTCTTATTGTGATTCAGACACATTACAGTAGACAGAACCCAATTCCAATATATAAATAATTAAAATTAGCCTTGTTCTAGTTGTACTATATTAAGAAGAAATAAATGTTTGGACTTAGTGAAAATCATCACATAGGCCCTAAAAAATTGAATATTTACATATTTAATAAGTCTACTAACCATGCTATGCTAGACACTAAAGTAGGAGCTTGCAACTCATTTTGAATTTTGTTTGGTGGAAAAGAAAAGCATCAAACTAGAACACTGTTAACATAAAGAAATCATTGAAATCTGTAAAGAATTTTTGTGAGTTTATTTGAGCCAAACTGTCGACATATGCCAGGAAGCAGAACCTCAATGAATTGAGATAATGCTCCAGAGAATGGAGGATTACATCTGTATTTATACATTGCAATAAAAGGACAGGGATGTAGGGGAGTTGCATGAAGTTCATTGGTGACAGATTAAGGAGGTAGGATAAAGCAAAACAGGGGAAACCTCTGTGATAGGGTAAAAAAGTGAAATGATGGACATGTGCTTCTTTTACATAGATGGATACAGGATAGTTTTATATAATTAACAGTTGACAATTAACTTGATAACAATAATAATAAAGGAATGCCCCAGTGCCATTTGTTGTGCCCTGAAGAGTCTGGGATAAAAAGGAAGTTACAAGTTACCCAGACATCTCACATATATGTTATGGTAGAGGCAAAAAGGCAAATGGGCTCAGTAAAGATCTAAGTTGATCTTTGTCAGGGGAAAATACTGGCCTAGAACATGACTACCCACTATAACCTGTTTATAGTTAAGTATTTAATTTTCAGACCATCTTTTGTGTTTATTTTAGGTCTCTGAGTTTGCAAGACTGCCACACAGGCCTCCCCTGAGCTTGTCAGGTTAGCATGTGGCTCTTTTTGTCCACAAGATAGGATGAACTTGGATGCAAGTGATCATATTCAACAGTTTCTAGTTGAAATGGATGGAAAGCCAGAAAAGGGAACTGCACAAGCTGGTATACACATTAGGCTTTTGGAAGGTTCAGTGGAAGCACTCATTATAAAGACAATGGAATCAAATGGCTCTTGCTAAGCATAATAAATGCAATTGAGAAAGACACTGAAAGGCTGAGGGTAATTTTACAAATCAAAAGCAAAATGTAAGACAGAGCTCCTCCTAGGCGGCATATAATGTCACTCTGATTTTTTAGTGCAGGACAAAAAGATCAGAGGATCTGGGCCAGTAGCAGGTCTCCAAAGAAAGTTGGTATTTCAACTCTATTGTCAAGGCTCTGGGTAGATAGCAGTGGGACTCTGAGACACGGGATGGGGCCATGTGGGTAGAAAATATTGAAGCCTCTGATCCCCTTGAAACCTGCTGGGGCAGAGTATTACGTTGGTGGAAATATTTATGTCATGAAAGTGAAATAAATTTTTAGGGGAGAAATAGGCAGGTTTAGGATATTTTAGGAATTAAGGGGTCCATGGAAAAAACACAGGGCTACCGAGTTGCAAAAGGATACATTTCCATAAGACAAGGGAGCTGGGAGTGGCAGAAGTTATATTTCCACAAGATAAGGGAGCTGGGAGTAGCAAAAGGTACACATTTACAAAATAAGAGGGAGGAAGAAAAGCCCAGAGGGAATAGGAGAACAATAAGGGAGAATAAGGTGCAAAACTCACTACTTCACCTGAAACTTGAGCACAGGAGTTGCTATCGTGACCAAATCAAAGGGAAATAGTGAGCAATCAAAGGGGATATTGAGGCACAAAAAACTGCAGCCTTTATAAACCATAGGGAAAGGGACTTGGTGGGACTCTTTCCCCCTCCTCAGCTGGGAGTTTATGCTTATTTCTCAATAAATTTCCACCTTTGCTGTACTATCTTCCATTCATGGTTTCATTCTTCAACTCCACCAGACAAAGAGCCTGGGAATCATCCTGCCCAGGAGAATACCACCATTCCAGTTCAAATTTCTCATTTCAAAAGGCTGCCATCTTTGAGTAGGAGGGGTGAGGAACCTTTCTTCTGCCAATGGCCATTTGGATAGCATCATTCATGGGCCATACAAAATTACCAACTTAAACCTTAGCCAGTCAAACATTTAATTAACTCATCCCTAATGCCTTGTCAGGGCCAGACCCAATGATTTCACAGGCTTTATACGACCCATGAGCCAGATATTCCCCACCCCTGCCTGAGAGGAAAATGTCCTACAGCAGGTCCAGGCTGCTATAAAACCAGTTCTAACACTAGGGCCATGGTCTTATGAAACTATTACTATCTTCACATTTCTGCAAGATCCAGGCTTTCTGAATAAAGAATGATTGAACAGGCGCTCTGAAGATAGGTCTCCCCTAGAGCCATTTGCTTATATTCCAAAACATTGGGGGTGCGGTAGGGGGTGGAGAGAGGAAGGCTTTCAACTTTTTCTCCTCCCTGGAGAAAATGTGTTTATATTCCAGAGCAAAAATTTCTCTCTGGAGAGAAGATAGCAGATGTGTCTGCCACCCTATAAGCTGTAGCTGTTATAACTTCAGGCTTTTTCTTTTATAGTGTAACCACTGCAGATACAAGTGACATTTGACCCTCATTCTATTATCTCATGGGAAGTTAGGGCACTACTAAGATGCTCTGTGAATAAATAATTCTCTCATCCAGAGATCTGCAGTTTCTCTTAGAAAATGACTAGATGGTAGGCAGATAGATACATAGATAATGATAATGATACATAGATGTTGATGATGATGATGATGATGAGAGATACCGTGTTTCCCCGAAAATAAAACATCCTCTGAAAATAAGACCTAGTGCATGGAAAAATAAGACATCCTCTAAAAATAAGATCTAGCGCACCTTTGGGAGCAAAAATTAATATAAGACACTGTCTTATTTTCGGGGAAACAGGGTAGATAGAAGATAGATAGATGATAGATAGATAGATAGATAGATAGATATAGATAGATATAGATAGATGATATAGATAGATAGATAGATAGATAGATAGATAGATGATAGATGATAGATAGATAGGTAGATGATAGATAGATGATGATAGATAGATAGATAGATAGATAGATAGATAGATAGATAGATAAAAGGTCAAATAATTTGTTTACTTACA